TTGGTAATAATGTAATTTGTTATGATGTGATGTCAAAGAATTTATTATTCGAAAAGAAGTTTTTTCGTCTATTGTTTCTATTGTTTTATCAAATTCAATTCAAAAAAAAATCCGATGTCCGAAAGAATTTCAAAATCTCATAAATAAAAAATTTGAAAAATGCATTAGATTTATTAGATTTAGAAATTAAAATTATGGTCCTAATCTAAAGCAACACAGAACTGCTTTTATAAAATTATTGGATCTAAATATATCATGAATTTTCTAACTTGTTCCAATTTATGCCTATTGTATTTGGTATATATAGAAAAATGAATAACCTTTGACAATTATAAGTTAATAAATTTATAAATAACAAAAAAAATAATTAAATTTACTTAAGATTATAATATGCAATGACTTGACTTAAATGTTAAATAATAATCATTACTATTTTTATAAAATATTATACAGTCTTAAGTTCAGTAATATTTATTAAAACATAATTTTTTTTTTTAAAATTTTAAGTGAAATAATAAAAAAGCATTCTGATTACTATTAGATGAGATTATTAGAGAAATTAGTAGAAGGATTAATATAATTAAATAATTATTTATAATCATGAAATGTTGCGTAAACTAAGATTATACAAATATTATTACAAATTTTATGTGAATATCATCACATAAAATAAAACCTTATAATTGATGTAGCCTAAATACTCATTATTTGATAAATAATTTCCCATTTTTCTGCATTATTTTTACCCTTTCTTCTAATTATTAATTTAAATGAAATTTTCATGTATTCATCTTTAGATTCTTCAATTTCAGAATTATATTCTTTATCTTCAACATCTAATTCTATATCATCTTCTATTTCAATACCTAAAATTTTATCCTTTACTTCATTATTCATCTAATTTTTCTCAAATTCTACTTTATTAATTTCTTTTACTTCATTTACTTTATTATTATTATAGTTCTCATCATCATCATTATTTTCATCAACATCATTATTATCATTATTATTTATATATTTAAATATTTAAGAAAATCTACTTTATATAAATAAATTCTATTAGCTTCACTTAATTCTGACAATTGTAACTCATTATAAATCTGGTGTTTTGTATTTATATCATATACTCTGAAGTAATATTTTATTTTTTATTGTATTTCTTATTTTTTCACAAATTATATTGATAGTATTTAAAAGATAATAATTTATTATAATTTAAACATATTTACCATAAAAAACAAGTATTAATTTGTTACATTCTTAAGTAGGATACTTTTTTCTTAGACATTATGAAAATATAATGAACGTGATATAAATATTTTTGAAATTAGTTTACAAGATCTTGTGTTATACTTTGATCAGCTAATTATTTAATTATGTGATTTTTGTGTTTTATATTTTGTGTTTTTGTCAATCATCACGCATAATTGCCAATTTCAATGATTTTAAAGACCCACATAATAGAAAAGATGTAAGCAGTTATACTTCATTCAGGGGATATTCCAAATAAGGAAATGAGTTCTAGAATATTCCATTTTAGATCCCTAAAATTTGATTGGCTCATACATATATTTTGTATCCATTTGAAAAAAATTTTTTATAATACTTATTCAATATAAGCAACTTTCAAAAATAATAAAATAAGACATCTAGTTTCCATAATCCCAAAAAATCCCTCAAAGTTAAATATATTTGTTAAAGTAAATGAGAGTCTAAACAAAGTATGCATTTTGTAATTTGTTAGTTAGAGTAATAAAAGAATACAATTTCATTAGCTAAACTAGTAATAATTTAAATAATTTTTTTTTTAGTGTCTACTTACCTGAGACCTAACGCAAGAGAACTTCCATGTATTTTTGCAGATCTAGTTGAAAAATATGATGAAATTGGATTAAAATCTTGCGAAACTAGAGAATCACAAAAATGGAGACATGCTAATACTGAGGAGGCAGCTAAGAAACTTTTACAATATCATATTTAGGGGGGACAAGGGCAGTTCCCACTAAGAAGGAATCTGCTTTCCATTGCCTTCCTGCTATATTCCTTTGTATTTCTTT